CACCAGCACCAGCACCAGCACCACTAAGAAGAAGAAGAAGAACAACAACAACGACAACAACAACAACAACGACTCGCGGACTACTGCAAGCCTCCTGCCATCGACGGATTGCATCTGCCGCTTCTGCCTGGAAAGCATGGAAGGTGTAGGACCTACAATTATGTGCATTGCGTTGTTCAAAGGACGGCTTTGACCAACAAAGCTTGAGAGTTTGCCGCACTCAAAGGCAGGAGTCCGAGATCTATGCAAGAAGAACAGCATGGCTTGCGAAGCGACCACATCTAAGTTACAATGGTCTGGACGTCACGTGGGCTAGTCGTGTGTCATGCAAGTGGCCATGTTGAATGTGGGCAGCTCGGCTTTGCCCAACACGTTCTGCAGTGATGATGGGACTGTTTTTCGGGTGCAGAGCTTCCGTGGATAAACAGTCCGGTTGCACATGGGGGCAGGCCACTATGGAAAGGAACTGTAAAGCCCTTTTGCTCAGTGGACCCCTCCCAAGTCCTGAACTCGCAGCGCGGAAACTAAACTGAAGCACCCTGAAGGCCCAGTTTCAACTTCTGCAAAAATGTCAGCCCAGATGCCTGCTTTTTTTGCGCGAGTCGCTTGTACCTTGGGTGCATCGCCATCGTCGCAGAGTGAGGGATCATCGTAGGGGTGGAGGTGCAGACGGAAAGAGGGAGGGAAGGAGGGAGGGAGCATTGCACGAGTTGGAACTGCTTGATAGCGCTTTAAGTGCGCTGTGTCAAACGTCTGCTCCTATATCGTACAAAACCTCGAGAGGGTAGCAGCATGGCCTGAGGAAGACACAATGGTTAGGTGATGGGATACGTAGCGGCAAAAGCATAGCACGAGGCCGATGGGATGATGGCAAGAGCATCTCACGAGCTGATGGCGGGCAGGGGCGGACGGCCGTGGCAAGCACCGACGCGCGCGCGCTGCGGTCGGTATACATAAACACACGAAATGATGTCGGGAGCAACAGCAGCTGTATTCAATTTTGCCATCGTCGTAGCCGCACCACGATTGCTATGCAGGCAATAGGCCACCACCATCACCATCACCACCATCACCAACCACAACAACGACTCGCGGACTATCGCTGCCCCGAGCTGTCGAGTCGCAGTTCGGACTCGAAGCCCAAAAGCCAATCGATGGCTGCTGTCAGGCAAGCGTCCATGGCGCCGGTGGGTTTTTCCGCCTTTTAATCTGTCAGCTTGTAGTTCCTTGCTTAGGGGGACTGAAGCTTAGTAGGCAGTTGCAGTTTATGGACCGAAACCTTAAACCCTAAAAGGCTAAAACCCTAAAGCCCTGAACCCTAAATCCCTAAACCCTAGTGTCTCTGTCTGCGTGTGTGTGTGCGTGTGTGTGTGTGTCCCACACTGGGAGCTGCCGGTCGCTCACGCTCTCCGAAGTCTCATCCAAGAGTTTAAAGGACACAGCTTCACCCCAGAACCACAACTCGTCAGGGTTCTGCACCTTCAGCCGCTACAGTCCCGACCTCCGCACACAACCACCGACTGCCGGGCCCAAGCTTCAATTTTAGGCACGGGGGCGACAAAAGGCCTACGAGGCGGGGGTACATGTGAGCTAGTGCTATGGTTCTGTGAAATTACATGTAATCTGTCAGGTGGCGAAACAGAAGGCAGAAGGCACCTTGGAGTCCTACTGGAATTTGGCAGAAATTCACCCGTCAAGAAGCTTGCGAGTCGGGCTCGTGTCGTACTGGAGGCAAGGCTGAGCAGCTGAGAGTTACGGTCATGAGCGAAAGCAGCTCAACTTTTTTTGGGCATTGCGGCGGGCGAAGTAGCCTCGGAAGGCATGCCATTCCAGCGATTCCTTGTGACGGTCTTCAGCCACCCCAGTCATCCAGAAAGTCACTCCAAAAGCACATGAATCCGCATATCAGGCAGCAGGCAGAAACGCCAAGGACAAGGCCACCTAGGACCGCAACACGGAAGAGGAGCAGGAAGAGCGCAGAAAGGAAAAGTTCCCCACTTGGCATCTGCCAGATCAGGGACCATGGAGACGCAAACTGCCCATCGTTGTGCCTTCCGAGAATCAGGGCGAGCTCTGCAACAGACATGCAAAGCATGGAGGGCAGATACCTCCACACGGCCTGCACCCCCGCTTTCCTCTTCTCCTGCTCATAGTAATCATTGAGATACACACCCACGAGAACTGAGGCGGCTCTGACAGCTTGCGGCAGAGAGAGGAGAAGGCTGCAGCCTGCGCTCGCGATCAGTGTGCAAACCGTAGAGAGAGATGCGCCCACTGTCAGATCCATGCGGAGGGCCGCATAACACTGCACAATCGTGGAACCAGAGCTTTCCACGATCTCCAGCACCTGATGTTCGTAGAGCAAAGGCGTTGCAAAGCCCCTCCGTAAACTTGCTGCCATGGCAGCAGCACCTCGGATCTGGAAGAGGTCACGTTCCAGGGCGCAGGAGATGGCCACTGATGTGCCGACCACAGCTGCGTAGATTGGTTGGCCTCTCCGCAAAAACATCAGTATGGACAAGATGTCAAGCGCAGGCTCGAAGAGCATGAAGAAGCATGACAAGCGCAGCTGGCACTTTGCACCCGCATAGTCGGAGTTTATGCCGATGCAACAGAAGGGTGGCTTGTGCCTTCTGGAGGCAGCAAACGGGCTTCCAGCTTCGAAGCCCTCATCGTCTGGCGCAACGTAGTCTGGGCGGTGCCGAAGCCTGCGTTGTGACTCCGAATCTTCTGCTTCTGACTCTTCTGACTCATCTGACTCATCTGACTCGGACTCTTCATCCCAGTTCTTCCACTGGAAACACAGGAATGCGATGCTGCTGACACTGCCATAGAGGACAGCTGCCAAGTACATCTGCCAGTTCGATGGGCACCATCCCAAGGCCCAAGCGGCCGTTTCCACTTTCCAGCACGTCTTGAAGCTGGTTTCGACAGCTTCGCCCGCCTCTTTCATCTGCCTCCAATGGCAAGGGCTGAAGGCAAAGGGGAAACCGGATCCCGGTCCCAAGCTATCTCGGCACCACGCCAAACACTCAGAGGCCACGGAAGCATTCTCCACCGCATCTGTGGGCACCACGCGAGTGCAGCTCTGTGGCATACCGCTCTGGTTGTGCAGCCGGGCCGCAAAGGATTCAGCGCTGTTGACACGGACTTCCTCCGGGGCTACAAAGTGGTCCATGCCCGTGGCACCCAGTGCAATACCCTGGCAGGCACCCCAAACGGCCAAGCCCAGGAAAAGGGGCAGAAGGCAGCTCGAGATGAGACAGGCTTGAAAACAGGAAAAGGGATTATGCCGAACGAAAACGCAGTCAAAACATGAATCGATTCGTCCAAGGCAATGGTTAAAGCGGCCCCTGAAATGCTCGTCTTCCTCATCCATTGCCATGCCGGAAAGGGCGAGCGCAGGGCTCACTTCAGGCAGTATAATTATAGAAAGAATAGTAACACAGTCGAGCCTCCATTCACGTCCGATGCAGTTCATGCCTGGATGGGCGTGTACCGTGAAGACATCGGCTACGAGTAGGAGTGTTTCTGCTCGCTGCCACTGCTACCTGTTGTGCAGCGAATCAAGTGCTTCTCATAGACTGTGAACAGCAGGACTTGTGACCCGAATCCAGTTCCTGATGCCACACCATTCATTGCAGAATCCCAGACCCTAAGCATCACCCGAAGCTGCAACCAGAGCTGAAGCTGCTACATGTCCGAATTAAGGAATTTCACTCGAGGGCAAGGCACCGTCTTATCTCAAACAGGTTTTGCCCGAGCTGAATCCAACGACCCTCAGCCCGACCGCGAGAAGCGCAAACAAGGAGGCGAGATCTTCGCAAACCCTTCTGCTGCTTGAATGTTCTGAGCCATGACCTCGAAGCATTGACTTTTGGTGGTGTCAAGACTTTTTTCCGACCCTTCAGCCCAGCACACTTCAATTCATCTCAACGACTTCTGAGTCACGTGCGTGAAATCATCATGTGTGCCGTGTGTCTTCCACCCACTCAACCCAGTCTGAGGCCTGGCTACACCATGCAACATCCATGCCTCTTGCTTCAGTAGACATGTTTGCTCCGGATGCCCACCCAACCTGAAACGTGAAAAGCCAATGTAACGCGCTCGCTACCACAAGAGCCATTATCTTTTCTTGGATGTGAGCCGACGGTCGATGCTTCGTTGATTGAAGCTGGCTTGTGCAACAGGAGTGAAACCAAATGGAACCCAAAGGTGCCCGTTACGAGTCCAATGTGCCGAATAATCCAAAACCAAGACACAAGGACTTGTGTTTTGAACCTCTGGACCGCAGCAACACGACTAGCCTTGCGCCACGTCTTGCAGATTTCGCAGTCTCAGGACCTTTCGGGCAATGCTATTCCGTCAGTCCTCGCTGAATGCCTGGCAACTGGCCATGCAGGAAGTGATTAGGGCATCTGGCAGAACTCAAGGGACCTACTGGCAACAACGGTTCCTGAACCGTCTCCCTCGAGGCATGTCCGGAGCTACTATGCACTGCGCAAATCGCTGCATGCTTCGAAAGCAAAGCGGGAAACATCAAAGCATCACACATCCTCACAACTTGCTAAAACATCAAGGCCTCCCTGAACACATCACTACATGCAAGGAAAAGAACACATCACGGTGCGGCCATCAGTGACACAGCGAAGCCTCAGGCTGAGAACATGGACATGAGCAGGGCCAACTATTTTACAGCGTGGGCCTCTTGGAGACATCCTCCAGCCGCTGGCCATAACCTTGCAGCACCTCGACTAAGCTGGGGTGTTGCCTAGAGAGCTGGCATAACTCTGGTGAACCGTTCGGGACCGAAATTACATCATTCCTTTCTGGCCTAAACCCCAACCCCTGAACAGACCTGAGAGCTCTAAAACCACGCCAAACTCGCGGCACCCAAGTGAAGACTTGGCTGTCCGAGGATTTGGGGGGAACCATTAGGGCCCCACCGAGCTCGGAAGCACTCGATTGCGAACAAGCGACCCTCGGAATCGTACCCTAAACGGCCTGAAGAGCTTAGGCTCCAATTTTCTTGCCTGTGCTGGAGATCTCTTGCTGAAACTCCACTCAGTCACTTGAAGCTACAGCAATTTTATCCAACAGAAACTTAATAAAAGGGACCATGTTTGCTGCGGCAACAGCTGAAGCTTTCTTCCTCCGGCCTCCTCGAGTGCCTGTACTTGGGCTGCTAAGTCAGCGCCCAAAGCCTCGCCAGAAGCTTTGTTTCATCCCTCTGACTCCGCTTTGAGATCGAGGTTTCTAGGGCTTTGGGTTTCGACTTCTGGAAGTATGCAAGCTTGGAAGGCTTATAGCTCTTAGCTACCGCTGGAACCAGAATAAGATGACGGCAAGTGCTGGTGCAACCTGCCCTCGGGTGACAGCATCCAGGATCACGAGGGTTGTCACAAGCTTGGACGGACACGAAACGCGGAAGCTTGCATACAGCTGTCACCAACTAGACGGCTTCACGTCCTCAGGTCCAACATCCGGGGACTTCGATGCGCATGACTTGCTGACACCAAACTCTAGACGCATTTCGCGACCATGGCTATACATCAGCGCTGAGTCTAATGCATGCCGGGTCAGTGCACACAGTGCCTCTGGATGGTGCCAGGCGAAAGAAGTGAGGAAGTCCAGCTTCTTGACTCCGCGTCGCAGCCGGGCCGCTCCGCGAACTTGGCCCTCCTCAAGGTGGTCGGGGCTTCCGTGGCCGGACACTGGATGTCGAAGTCAGCGTATCGATTTTATGAAACTCAGAAATCCCCCCCTAAACCTTGTACGCCTACGGCCCTAAAGGCCCTAAGCCTAAAACCCCTAAACGCCTAAACCCCCTAAAACCCGAAACCCCTGGAGCCCCAGGAAGAATTCAACGAGTGTGTGAGCGCCCACTGAAGGTCCGCCGGTTGCCGTTTCTCCGCGGCCTCCGCGGCGTCTGCGGCGGCCGTGGCTAGGTCCGTGGCTTCGCGGAGGGCCCGAGCCTCTAACTTTCCATCAGGGTAGTAAGAGTTAGTAGGAATAAAAATCATAGCAATAATGGTAATCACGGTAATAGTAACTCTAATCATAATAATTATAGTAGTAGTAATAGCAATTACGGTAATAATGGTAATAGTAAAAATAATAACAACAAGAGACGGTGTCGCGGAGGTTTGAAGAGCTGTTGCAGCGATTCCAAGAGACCTTCCCCGTGCCTACCCACTCTTTGGGAGAACCTGCATGCCCCGAAACTTAGCCGTTGTGTTCAGGCAGTCCAGCATTCTACAAGATCCCAAGGGACGAACCTACTACTCGAATGCGGCCCCTCAGAGCCCTGCTGCAAACGTGTCAAGGCCCAAGCACAGGAGCCAACTCCCCGGCTGAGGATGGTGGCCACGTCGCCGACGCAATGGCGGTCCTGAGCGCGAGCTGAAGAGATCCTTTATGCGAAGGCCACCATGCAAGTAAGTGTGGAGTCGGCCTGAATCGAGGTTCGGCATGTTTCAAAAGGTGCTGGTGAGGTGGATGCTGCGCCAGGAGATGCAGAGATAGCTCATTGGCTGCATTACGCACTGGACTTTGCGTATGCAACACACACGGAAAGTTGGGGGCATCTATCTAGACGTTCGTTCGTCCCTGCGCTCACAAAACAATCCCGAGCCAGCTCAAAACTCGTCGAAGCCGAGCCGACACCGCAAGTATGGCTGAGAGCCAAGCCCAACAGATCCGAAGGGTGTTAGTGCAAACGACACAAACCCGAAGCCGAAGATAGTCCGACTGATACATGTCCGAGTGCACCGCAAACTTCGCTCCAAAGCCGCCACCCGGAAGCTTTGAGGCCTCCGCCAGGCACGGGGCTGAAATGAGCAGCCATGATGGTCTTAGAACCCAGGCACAGCAAGAAAACTTGCCAGAACCGTGGCACCAGCGGTGGTACTTGTGGTGTTGGTGGTGACGGTCAGTAGTGGTTAGCAGCAGCTGCTCGTCGTCGCCTTTGTCCGCTGCTTTGTTGCAGAACGAAGTGCTATATAGCAGTCCTGTGGCAAGAGCAGCAGTATAACGCACATTGTCAACCCTAAACAACATCGAATAGGGACCGACACAGAAGTAATCAGCAATGAGAACATGCACACGAAGTTGGTTGACTGTGACTAGCAGAAACAAGCTTGAACTACACGACTATTTTGGGAACGTCTTCGCTGCCGGCCATTCATACCGCTGAAGAAGATGATGACGCTTGTGTCGGCGACGAGCACTATTGATGCAGATGTTGTTGACCATAGGAGCTATGGGCAACCAGGATAAACAGTAATCTCAACAGCGGGAGGATGCTGGCAATACAGACACAAGCCATGCTGACGAAAGCGGCAAGCAATCTCCCAACTGTTGTGCAATGCTCTACCAGTCTTCCCTTTGTGTACTGTTGCTGCCCCTGCAAGCCTGCGGAAGCTTGGCAAGCACGAATTGCAGCAAGATTTAGAGGTTGCACGGTTTCACGTGATGAAACGCACTTTCCTTGAAAAAGTGCCTGCCCTCAGACGACCTCTCTTGATGTGTGGACAGAAATCCTGCATTCCGCTGACTGTCACTTTCAGTCAGGCGGCTAGCTGCCAAAGCGCTTGAAGCGTGCTGGTTGCTGACTCGTGCACTTGGTGGGCCTGGGTTCATCGGCTGAAGTCGAGTGAAGAAAGCTGTGGGGCAGCAACTTGCAAAGACTGTGGGGATTCCTCCGGTGCTTCTGGAAGTCGGTCTCTCTTTACAAGATTTATACGCTCACAAAGGTCTCTTAAAAACTTTTCTTCAGCTCCATCTTCTCGCTCCGTAAGATGTAGCCTTCGCTCTGTCGCGATTCAACGCTCGCATCCTGGATCCGCAAAACAAAACCTGCACGTCCTGCGAGCGACGCGGAGGCTTGCAGCCGGAGAGAGGCATCAGGGCTCCGGGGCTTTTCCTATTTTCTCCGAGCCCTGTGAATCCTAGGCCTAGACGGCCTGCGCGTGCGAAACTCTTTGAAAGTGGGCCATGCGGTCAGAGTCCAATGCAATGCCTGAAAGTAAGAGCACAACTTCATCATCCAAGTTGCCCAAATACCTTTGCCGAGATGAAACATGTGCGCCTCGGCTCTGCTTTATTGAGTGGGCTCGAGCTGAGTCAGAGGAACTGTCAGACTCGATGTTCTTGCCTCGCGCAACTACAGGGCAAGGCAACCGTCTGGTGCGTCATGTAAGAATATAGTAATGTAGTAATATAGTGATATTGTAAGTATAGTAAATTTAGTCTTAGGCTTTGACTTCTGTCCGAGGTCCCCGCTGCCGCCTGCAGAGGGTCCCATCTCCAGTCGCCGTTGAAGGCGCGGAGCGTGTGGACGTAGGCGAACAGCGCCTGGCACGACGTTGGGCAGCAAAGGGCGGAAGCTCGCGGCTTCGCTGCAAGCTGGGTATGTTTAAAGAAGTTTTTCCCAACATCCTGGGATTTTATGACATACATCGTGAGCTTTGGGGTCGATAGCGGGGTGCCTCATTTCCAGAAGCACGCTAACCTGAGTCAATGCTGCAGATGCGCACGCAGGCTGCAGGCCATGCCTCGAGGACTGTGAAGACAACGGAGGGGTGTGCCTGGCTCGTTGGAAATGGCAGTGCAAGAGAATCACGAGATTGGCAGCCTGTTTACCCCCACGCCAGAGGCATCTTCCAGTCATCGTCTAGATTTGCAAGTACATGCGATCTTCTTCGGCCCAAGCTAGGCCAGCCCTATGAGCAAGCCAAAGCCGAAGCCTTTGCTCATATTCCCTTTCCCAAGTCAAGGCCTGTCGGCTCCCATCTGCAGAGCAGCCTTTGAAGCAAAGGATTGCTGTTGCAGCCGGGGGCGTGGTACGAAGACACGCAATGTTTCGACATTGTAAGACTTGCCCTCGCTACCAGCCTTTGCACGAGGAATCCCTAAGCTGTGCTTTGCGCACCTTCCGCCGATCGCCTGCTTGGAGCGAAACCTGAAGCCTCGGCCTGGAAGAAGAACCCTGCTTAAAGGATCGTGGGACTTGGTAACTAGGGCTATTCTTAGGGCAACTATACTTTTGCTTACTTATAACCCCAATTAAGGTATTTATATCCATACTTACTAAGTCCCATGATCCTCCAAGTGTTGTGAGCTGAGATCGGCGCAGAGGTGTCTTGGGGGATCCTGGTGCAGGGACTCGTCGCCTTCGAGGCCTCGTGGAACAGAGGTCGCCAAGGATTGCAGGGTCAAAGCGCAAAAGGGACTCATAGAAGTATGTAAGTATGTACCTATATGTATACACACATACATACACAAGTAGTTATCCATTTTCTTATATGTGTCTATATTTCTTACAACCATATATATATATAGAGACACACATGTTACACCCTCAACTCTTGACTGGAGGATCTTGCCAGTCGAGGGGCCGGAAACATCGTCCTCATCCAAGGAGAGGAGGTCCACAGCGGCGACTTTCTGCCACCTCGATGCTAGAGTTTAGGGTGTAGGGTTCTTCTTCGGGTTCCTCTAAGGTCACTATACGGGCCCCTGGAGGGTTTCAGGGTTCTCGGAGGCTCCGAATCCCTTTAATTTCCTTGATCATGGAGTGTTGGATCCCAAGCACGGCTGGGACCTTCTTCTTATCGCCGACAACCCCCGAAGCAAAAAGGAAAACAGGACAAATCGAGCAGAGAATCCTGCATGATGCTTCTTCTGGCAACATGCTCAGACATTGACAATGTCGCCAAGGCCCCTTTCCAAACTCCGGAAACCTCCTCGAGAAATTCACATCACGCCGGCCTGCTATCCTCATCCTGAATCCAAAGAAAGCCACATGACATGAAGAAGCCGCTCACGGTCACCCTCAAAGATACCCTGAAAGTACCCTTAGCGGAACCCCAAAAGACATACACCGATCTCATCTTGCCCCCTAGAACCGACTGAAAGAAAAACACCTCAAGGGTGCCCAACAGCCGAAGGCTCTGCAGAACCGTAGCCTCAGGTTTACAAGCTGAAGCTTTTCGACTGCCTTGAAAGCGAGCTTCTTGTTACGAGTCTTAACTTCCAAGAATCCATCCCTGTCCCAGGTATCTGGGCTGCCTTACATAATGGTATCGTGTTTATGGATTGAGGGGCACTCGTACTTTCCAATTAGGACCACGCCACAGTCAGAACAATACAACGACAACGACTAACGTTTATCGACAACCACAACAACAATGACGACGACGACGACGACAACTACAAGTACGAGTTTCGCTACGCGCACACCCCGATGCACGCAGCTATAGCGTCCCTATCCGGGCTCCCGACCACGGCTGCCAGGCACCCAGAGCACGGCCCAAATCCCCGCTCTTCAGCGCGACCCGGAAGGACTCTGCCTGCTTTGCTGACGGTGCACGAGGCGGGGGAAGGAGACTGGATGCAGGTTTTGAGTAACCGGCCCCTTCAATCAAAAGCCCCCTAAGTCTGCGTGTCGGGCTTAGGCGGCGAATGTGGGGCTCTGGGCTCAGGATGTGCCCTGAACCCCAAACTCCATAATACCCAAACGCTCACGACCCCCCTAACTTCCCGAAGCTCTCTGCCTCCTCCTCCGTGAGGTCTTCAAGGCGTAGCTCTCCCGACGCAGCGAGCTCGGCGAGCATCTGCGATTTGGGCTTTCTATAATACTTTCTAGGGTTTGGGGTAAAGGGTTTCTGTTGGATTTTGTTGCTTCAGGGACCTTCAGGCTCTAAACATGTAGACCCAAGCCCGAGCAGAACTTCGCTAAGAGGCTGGGACCATGGGCCGCCGCTTTGACGCGGATAAGTGGAGAAGTTTACAATGCGTAGCGTTTTTTGAAACAAGAAGCCCTCTTGTAGCCTTTACAGCACCTCAAGGATCTCCAGAATTTTGAGCTGGACCGGGAGTCGACAAGCCTCGAGTCGCTTCTCCGATGCGTCGCCCTCATCCTCAGCCTCCTGGAAGAGTATCAGGTTGTGGGGAGTTTGGGGATTCACTGCACGGCTGCAGCAAAGTCGGACATATCCAGGCTTTTACGACAGCTCGCCCTAGCAGCTTTGTAAACTTTACTCACTCTTCCCTAGCGTCCTTTGCCTAGACTTCTGCCCATCAACCCTGAATCCGGAGCGGTGCAAGTGTTTGCTGTCTTGTCGCGGCCGTTCAATCAATCCAGCAGTCACTCAGCTGGTGGGGATCGTAGCTGCAAGCTGTACATGCCTGAAGGCTTAAAGCGGGTCGCGGCAAGCCTGTGATAAGTTCTTATGAGATAGCACACGTTCCAGCTCTCCACTTCTCAACCGCTCAGAGTGTTGGGGCAGCAAAGAGGAGGCCAAGCCCAACGAGAAGCAGCAGGAAGTGGCCTTGCAAAGCGCTTGGCCAGATTTTCGCGTGAACCATCGCAAACTTGCAATTTCGCGTGTTTGCAGAATCTAAAGTCTCCGACTGCCCCGAGAAGTCGGAGAGGGCCCTAAGACTCGAGACTGTAGCTAAGAATCTGCGGATGCGTTCGTCGGAGGCATGGGCAAAGACGTACATTCCCGGAAGGTTGCAGGATAACTCTCGGACCACACCATGACCGGAGAAACCCTAAACCCCAATTTAAAAAAAACAACCCAACCTAAACCCCACAAAAAAAAAGAAACCAACCTAAACCCCACAAAACAAAAGGATGTCAGGTGGCTTGTTTTGGCCGGCCCGCTGTAGAGGCGCTTCGTGAGCTTCATTGCCATGCCGAGACCTCAGAGGGCGACTTGCACTTAAAAAGGCCTTTTAATAGTAGCAATCTTAGTATTAGTATGAATACTAGTTTTATTATTAAGAGAAATACTAATATTAATACGAAATACTAATATTAATATGATGAACAGCCCTTCTCACTCTGCGCAAAAGGTCGAGTCTTCAAGGAGAGTATATTCGAAGCATCCTCTGCAAAAAAAACGTGGAACAGGTTTGCGATAACACAAATCTCTCTCTAGACGCCAACTTCCTGCAACCTGATTCAGCCGAAAGCCGTCCAAGCCCGTTCTGGTCAAAGCTGCCTACGCCGGCTGCGAGCAGCCCCATGAGCTGCCTTGTATCGAAGCCCTCCTCGTGCATGCGGATCACCTCCGGCTGGAGAAATGGTGAGTCGCAGTCACAGCATGCGTCTAAGATGGGGGGCTCAATGTCTGGAAAGGTACTTGTGGCAGCTGCATGTCTGTGAAAGATACGCATGTCAGATTGGTCATCTTCGTAAGCATCATGGGTTTCAGTTGCGCTCAGAACTTTCGGTGGCCTTGGCTGCGAGCAGCGACACAGCGCAGCCCTCCGCGTATCCAGCAATCACATCCAGCCAGTGGTGTGCCAAGAAATACCTTTCAAGCTACATTGCTTCAAGCATGATGCCAATGGTCCTACCAAGAAGAAAAGGGAAGAACACTAACTATACCCATGTCCCCAACGCCTGAAAGCCGCCACAACCTGAAAACCTAGAAACCTACACTGAGCCTCCCATGATCCTTAGTCAGCCTTAGTCCCTTAAGGCCCCTATAAATCTCGTATGGAACCCTTTATGGAACTCTTCAAGGATCCCTGTCAGGAACCCTTGAACTATTTCCCCAAAATGCCACAGAAATTAACGGTTAAACTTGCACATTACTACTAACTATGAGAACCCAAAAAGCTTAAAGGCTTGGTATTAAAACTAAGTTAAGGAACCCCTAGCAAAGTCCACCCGAGGGAGCCGTGACCTGAACCCGAGCCAAATGCTTTCCAGGGGGCACACGGCCAAGGCCGACCTCGAGCGGTTTAGGGCTTGTAGGGTTTTAGGGCTCTGGGGGCTTTAGGGGTTTAGGGCTTTGGGGGTTTAGGGCTTTAGCGGTGTAGGGCTTTAGGGCGTTTAGGGTTGTAGGGGTGTAGGGTTTAGGGGCCTTGATAACTAGAACTCGGCCTCTCAAAAAGGGGGCCTGAAGAACTGGAATTCGGTTTCCTTGGGATCTAAGGGATTGGTTTACTCGAACAGACCTCAATGAAGAAGGGGCTTTAAGAACTAGAGCTGGGTTCCTTGGGTTCCAGAAAACTGTGAGGGTGCAACAGGAAAACTATACTAGGCCTCAAAGCCCTGGACCGCAGAAAAAAAAATCGTTCAGCCCCACCCGGTGGGCCCTGAAGGATTTAAAAATCGCCCACCTGAAGGACTTCTAAAAATCCTTCAGCCCCACCAGGTGGGCCCTGAAGGATTTTTTACAATCCTTCAGCCCCACCGGGTGGGCTCTGAAGGATTTTTAACAATCCTTCAGCCCCACCAGGTGGGCCCCGAAGGATCACCAGGTGGGCCCTGAAGGATTTTTAACAATCCTTCAGCCCCACCAGGTGGGCCCTGAAGGGATAAGTAGAAATCCTTCAGCCCCACCAGAGCCCCACCAGGTGGGCCCTGCAGGAGTTTTGCAAAACAAATCCTTCAGCCCCACCAGGTGGGCCCTGAAGGACTTTAGAAACCCTTCAACCCCACCGGGTGGACCCTGAAGGATTTAAAAAATCCTTCAGCCCCACCGGGTGGGCTCTGAAGGATTCTTAACAATCCTTCAGATTTTTAGAAACCCTTCAGCCCCACCAGGTGTGCCCTGAAAGATAATTAGAAATCCTTCAGCCCCACCAGGTGGGCCCTGAAGGATTTTGAAAAATCCTTCAGCCCCAGCAGGTGGGCCCTGCAGGAGTTTTACAAATCCTTCAGCCCCGCCAGGTGGGCCCTGAAGGATTTTTAGAAATCCTTCAGCCCCACCAGGTGGGCCCTGACAGCCCCAGGTGGGTCCTGAAGGATTTTTACAAATCCTTCAGCCCCGCCAGGTGGGCCCTGAAGGATTTTCAGAAATCCTTCAGCTCCACCGGGTGGGCCCTGAAGGATTTTTAGAAGTCCTCCAGCCCCACCGTCTGATACCTGCTAAAACCAAATCGTGCGTAAGATGTTCCCCGAGACTCCAATATCCCTTAAACAAGGAATATGCCTTAAATCATAATAGGAACCCAAATAAGATTTAAGGTATCTTCCTTAATTAGGGGGATATTGGAGTCTCTGGGTTGGTTACTGCGGACTCCACTGCGGACTCCAGGAATCCTTTCTGGATGGGAGCGACACCGAGCTGCAGCTGATCCCTCATTGGCGGATTCTGTATAGGGTACCCTTATTGGAACGCTTATAGAACTCTTGTAGGGTTTAGGCTTTCATAGGGTACCCTTATGGAACCTTCAATAGGACCTCATAGGCTGAGTTTAGTCGGCGAGCCTCTTTTGAAGCTTTTGCAGCTGTGGCCAGATGCCATGCGGTGAAGATCGGCAGGACTGGGTCGAAAAAACACCCACGGCTTGAAACAACCTCATAGTAACACCCGATTGTAGCACTCTTGAGGCTTACTAAAAGGTGTACTGTACCCCTTATCGCAATCCTTAGAGTGGCCCCTTATGCTACCCCTTATATGGTACCCCCCTATTGTAATCCTTGCAGTCATCCTTAGAGTAGTCCCTTTATGGTACCCCTTTACCTTTGCCCACATCTTCTGGGTTCTTGTTAAGTGATGATTGAAGTTAAGTTACCATACTAAGGAAACCCTATTCTTCACCATAGATTCCATAGATCCCTACTATGGAAACTCAAATTAAAGTCCTTAGCAAGAGAACCCCTTTGGTAACCCTGATCTTATAGTATAATGGGCCCCAAAACCCAATTCTAATTATTCAGGCCCCCTATATTAACCCTTTTGGTAACCCTCATCTTTGCCGCCCAAGGCGGCGTAGAGGCCCAGGAGCCACCAGCCGCTGCCACAGCCGGCCAGTGCCAGCGATGCGCCTTCGGGGCTTTGGGGCCTTAGGGGGTTTTGGGGGTTTAAGAGTTTTGGGGGTTTAGGGGTTTTGGGGTTTAGTGTTCAGGCTTTTTGGCGCTTCCCCAGCTCTCACCGAACCTTCTGTGAACGGCTATCTGGAACAATACAGACAGGTTTTCGGATGGACAACCAGCCAGGCAGCCAGGCAGACAGAAAGAGAGAGAGAGAGCGATAGACAGACAGACTCAGACAAACATGCATAATGCATGCATACATACATGCAAGCAGCTCGTTGGCTCGGGGGTGGACAGGGTCGATTTGCTCCTTGTGTTTGGTTAGGGGCTTTCGGGAAGGTGCAGGGTTCAGGGTACGAAGCTCCTCGCCACGTTTACGAATAATTAGTGCTCTTATTTCAGCGTGCTTTGTAGTGGGAAGACCTGGCGCTCACCGGCTTTTCTAAGGGTCGCTGTTTAAGGTTGGAGTTGGCGGGGCGCTTTGGCGTTGAGGTGTTCCCCTCCGCATTCGCATAAAGCCTGCTTGGAATCGGCCTGTTACACTCCCGGCCATCGTGTCGCCGGACGGAAAGGAGGCGCCGTCCTCAGCAACGAGTGGTTGGAAGTATGTTTACTTTCAAACTCCGTCAAACATCAGTACTGGTGCTCTGTCTGAACATTCTCTACTGATCTCTGCGAACCGTATCCTAAGTCGTCTTTCAATCATCTTTACTACTCTTCCCCGGTTCTTGAGTGAACCGTGCAGTTCTTTATCATAGTGTGTTGTTGCTGTTGTGCTTCTATACTTCTCACGGTTGCTATGGAATGCCTTATGACCCATGCGAGCTTCATTCGGGGCTTGATCTTGCGCAGTGGTCGGGCGCCAGGAGGGTTCGGAGGCAATCCGGCACCTGAAATCCTGAAGCCTCCTGCAGATTCCAGGGTCAGGCAGTTCAGGGATTTCTCCACAGTTGCGCGCTCCTGCAATCTTCCGGGCTGAGGATCAATGAATGTTCGTGCCCCAAACCCACATTCCTGTACCATAACCATATTTGGCCCATGAATTGCCAAGCTGCCGCGTGTGTATCCGTTATGATGATGGTGCGGAACATTCGCTTCACCTGCTCTGTCGAACTGCTCCAGCAACATCGCACTGCTCCTCCTACGCCTTCTGTTTTCTATGCGGATTGAGACAATGATCTAATTGCAATGATTGCAATTGATGAGCATCTGACGTTTCTGGAAGGCGGAAAATCTCCGTGAAAATCATGATGATGATGAATGCTGAAGATGACAACGATGATGAGAAAATCAGTGACGGCAACCATAGCACAACTACTATAATAAATCACACCGATTTCGATGTGCATGAGATAGAAGTCACAGCGATCCAGAAAACCACGGCGGCAGGTAGGCGCAAGGAACAAGAGCAATGACTTACGGAATCGTCGCTGATGCTGTTTGTGTTCTTCTCACTTTGAACAGTTGTTGATTTATGAAGAAAACAATAAACAGGGCAGCAGCAGCAGCAGCAGCAACAGGTACCATGGAAGCAGAGATGCCATCATCGTTGTCACATGAGAGTGTTCCTCACCAATGACGAAACGGCATCTTCCCCGGATGCACGATCATTGTATCGTGATGCGCATCGACGGTCCTCCTCCTCTCCTCCTCCTCAGCAATACTAACCGTCATCATCACCATGCTCAGACAGAATCCTCGTGATTGTCATCAGCCTCGTCAACACATCCAAAGCACATCTGTATGTTCTGCCTGCAATTCCAGGTCCCCATTATCCTGAGCTGCCCATCTTTAAAACTGAACATTCATTGCTGCAGCTGCGGAGCATCGTCAGGTGGCACCGGTCTCTCACGCTGAAAAACCAGCTTCAAGATGCGATTGAGCACTTGGCCGTAGCACAAGGCAAACCTGCAGTGCACAATCCAGGACTGTGCTTGAGCTAGGGTTAGCATAGGGCCAACTTCAAGGACAACAACAGCCTCGTCTGTGACAGCCAACGCGAGTTTCAAAATGAATTATGTGCATTGAGGAAATGCAACGACGCAGGCATACATGCCTGCCTGCGGGCTTACGCATGTTGACTTTGTGTCAGTGGTGCAAACGAGGTAGGTAGGTAGGTAGGTAGGTAGGTAGGTAGGTAGGTAGGTATAGGTAGGTATAGGTAGGTATAGGTAGGTATAGGTAGGTATAGGTAGGTATAGGTAGGTAGGTAGGTATAGGTAGGTAGA